GGGCGCCCCGCTGCCTCTGTCTCCGAGAGGGAGAAGCAGCCCGCGGTAAGCGCTTACGGACGGGGATCGGCTCGGCGTTTGACATCCCCTCGGATAAAATGAAAAGTCTCTCGCCCTACGGCCGCTTTTCCAGACTCCTCCTTCCTGGTGGGTTCGGACGGGACGTTCGGCGGCGCTAAAAGGTGCTGCGCGGGCAGGAGCCCGCTCCGCCGGGGCGGCCGACCCGCCAAACCTTGGGACACCCGCAAGCGCTGCTCCCCCTCTTGGGCTATTTTCTTCCAGGGGGCTAACGAAAACCGCAAGGAAGCAGAGAGCGCCTGGGAGGAGCGCCAAGGAAACGCTCCTGGCGGATGACGGCTCCCTGCTACAATTAGTTCGGGGTTTTCTCTCATCTAGCAGTTAATGAGTTTTTAAATCCATTTACTACGGACAAGGCTGATCTGCTGCGTTGGTCACTTCTTCTAACCAACATCATTTGGGGATAAGGCTTGCAGCAGGCAAAACATCACGGTGCCGGTTACCTTTACCGACCAAACCTGTGGTCCTCTAAGATACCGCAGACACTGCGATTGCCTTTCAGGACTTACTACCCACAGTACTAAGCGAATTATCCTTAATTATGGTCCTTGGTAAAATCAGGGCCCATTAACCAGTCCTAATGATTTAAGCACATTGCGAAGTTTCTCCTTACGGACGGAGTATTTCGCTTGCGCTGTACGACTTGGCCACCGAACCCTGGTAGCTTTTAAATAGGGAACAGAAATATTTATTTAACGTCTGGCTTTTTCTGTGCCGCGTTAAAATCTTCTCCTAGGTCTTCCTGCCCCGAGCCACATGTCTCTGCTGCTAGCTTTAACATCTTTTATCGCCCCTCTGTACCCGCTAGCATCCCAAACATACCCAGCGCGCCCCCCGCCCCAAATCTCACTTTGCACATTTGCTACGTTTGTGGGGTGTTTCCCGCGTCGCCCAGGGTCACAAACTCCCCGCGCCCGGGGTGGGGGCCGCGCCGCCTCGCGGCATCACCCTCCTCCTCCTCGTCGCGGCCGCGCCAAAAAGCCGAGGCGCCCTCCCGCCCCTGCGCTGACGGCCGCCAGAGCGCCGGGCCG